ACCTATCATTGGCTATAAGGGATAAGTCTATCCAAGAGACATAAGCCCCAACTACTTCAAGGCACTGACATGTCACTTCAGAATTAGTATACTGATAATTTTGTAATATTTGGTACCATGATTCCACCAGATTTGGAATGCACTGTTCCCTCATGGTATCTTTTATGAGAGTATTCCTACGAGCCTCCTCTGATGTATGCACCACATCACGATCCACCAACTCTGAATCAATAGCCATGGGGATTCGCAGGTACAGATCTACTCCCCTTGGATTTAGGTCCACTACTGAGAGAATGTCAAAAAAAAACTTGGGCCACTTAGTGAGATACTCTGTAACGAAAAGCAAGGCGAAGACTTGGGTGGCTTTATTTCGTATAAAGGTCTTCTCTGGTTGGGGATTCAGCATCTGAGCTTGCAGCCATGATATGAGCGTCTTCCTAATTAGTTGTTGTTGCACAGTGGTTAGTTCTGAGTATTTGTATTTAACTTGATGTTCCAGTACTTGAAAGCAGAAAAACTTTACATGATCATCACTATATGTCCTCTGGGCTAGAGCTTCTGCACGCACCTGCCAGGCATCTGGGGGAAATCTTTAACTGCTCAAAATAGGCCAGGGCCCTTTGTCTAAAGTCTGAATCAGCATTTGGATTTAGCCCTAATAGAGCCTGTTCATCCATCCTTGCTGCTATACTTGGAGTTTTCTGGTTACAATAGGCGTGCCCTCTGATCCCACAGAAGAATTTATAAACATCTTCCCTATCACTCCATCCCGCCTCCCAGTCTGCACTCCAGATGGTGAGCCAGCGGAGCGGAGCGGCGCGGCACGCAGAGAGCTGGAAGAGCGGCCCTCGTCCTCGTCGCCGTAGTCCTCCGCCACGGCCGCAGCGCCAACGCCAGAGACGGAGCTGGCCGGGACCGCGCGCCTCTAGTCGCTCCGCGTCCCCTGGCACCTTCTCTTGCGTGGCGCCGGGCAGGCAGGCAGGCAGGCAAGCAAGCAAGCAAGCGGGCGGGGTCGGCCACCTTTCTGATTCTTGATGTGGGGAGAATCAGAAACTATGGGATAAACAAACTATGGTATACACTTATGGCTAAAATTAAATCATCTACAAGATTTTTAAAATACTGATGCTCAAGTTATACCCAATGACAATTAAATCACAATGTCTTCAACCCACATCAGTATTTTTTGAAAGATCCATTGGTGATTTCAACGTGCACAAAGTTTGGGAATCATTGATATTAGCATCTGGATAGGAGCAAGTACATAAAAGCTTGAGTTACTACTATTCTTAACCCATCTTCAGTAAGAAGCTTATACTTCCCCCCATCGAATATCCTCTATAACTACAAAGCTTATATATTCTCAGTAACAATTCCCTTCAACACATAGAAAATGCATATGTACCTCTGAACTTGCTTCAACTTGATACATTTTTGGTAACGAATTAATAGTATGAGAACTCCGATACCGACAATAACCAGGACAAGCACAACAGTCAAGATGGCAACATCTGCAACATGAAAAAACACGGCCTTCAGCCAGGGTATCAGTTGTAAAACAGTGGAATATTAACATTTAATGGAGCTGTTACAATGCTCCTTATTCCTTTCTATAGGACTTTGATTCTCCTTTCAATTATTTTTATGTAAAGTAAAAAGCCCAAACATTATACAAATTACCATTTGTATTTGCAACTGACACTCCACCCAGTATTCCATTATATTTAAGGGAACCACAATCATCAGGAAGAGATTTGGTTGTCAGTTATTAACTACAGAAAAGCCCTTGTGTGTTGAGGGTTTGTGGAAGACCTAAGAAAACCTAACTGAGCTAGAAGAGACTACACTCGCTATAAAAGGGAATTGCAGTAAAATCAATTTGGGTATTCATGCAAAATAATATGAAGACCATACAAATCCATATCAAAACACAACAAATAAGTAGCAGACTTGAAAAATAAGAAAAACAACTTTTTTCGTTGGGTAGGCTTTTGATACATGAAAGATTTTGTTTTAGGATGCTCACTGGTAACATTTAAGGTTTCTTCCCAGGCTACAGTTGCCTGTCCTTCCTCACAGTGGCACTGGAGTCCATGGTCATCCATCTGGAAGAGCAGTCAATGATATTTTCTCAAATGACTGATATAAGTTGTGTTCTGCAACTCACTTACTTTAGTACTACCTGTACATCAAACATACATGCACACAAGCACAAGCACGAACTTTTTATTAGTTAATTAAACTCCCTAAGAAAATCAATGATGCATAAAAATAAGTAAACAAAATACAAGAAGCAGCCATCTTTGAAAATCGCCTTTGAATAAGAGAATGATACTGACAAATTCAAAGGCAGATGAACAAGACAGCATGATTTATCTTTCTAGATAAATATATGATATGTATGATAAATATGGTAACCTGATATATATATGTGTGTGTGTGTGATATGTGTGTGTGTGTATTACTATATAAGTGTTACTGATTAACCCAGCATATGAGTGATATTAGGCATAAACTGTTAGTAATTGCTGGAATTAGTGTTTATTAAGTGAAAAAATATACAATATTTGCCGATTTTCTCAAAAGCTTAACTTGACATTGGTGTAATTTAACTATAAGACATATTGTAATAGGTTCAACTTTAAACATCGGATTTAAACTTTATACATACATTAATCACTGAATTTCTAGATAACCAGTACCATAATGAAAGCTTTACTTGTAACACTGGCTATATCTGTGTATAATAATATGTGGTTTAGCTCCTTGGATCAATTTTGTTGATAACACATGAAAAAATGAATCCCAAATATATATTTGACTTAGAAAACAGCAAACATACATATATACATACATATACATGCACATATGAGGAATAAAGTAAATATATGGCTGATAAGACATTAATTTTAAAAGCAGTCATATCTTACAGGATTTTCATGGCACTGAGAGGGGCAATTGGTTGAGTTATAGACCTTTTCCATGTTTAGACATTCACCATTGTTGCACACCTAGAAATGAAGTAACCAAGCATGAATTAAAATGACTTAATGTGAAATTGTAATTTCATGTAATGCAATGTGAAGCACACAATTTTGCATGTAATTTACATATGAAATTTTTCAATTTACATGATTTAATTGTAAGTTAGGTAATTTTTCCTATTGTAAAATTCCACATGTAGTCTCTTCTGTGGATAGAGAAATCCTCTATAAATATTTGAGGAGTGTACTATACATGCAAACAAATATTTTAAGCTCATTAAAATGTTTATGTTCTGTTCTGAGTAATTATTTCAATATTAGTCTGTCAAAGATTCTACAACTGTAATTGCAACAGTTTCTTTTGTTTCAATGAAGTTTTTCTTTTGATTTGGTTTAACAATGTATGTTTATTATATCACAGTTGGGCATTTTATTAATTGATGGTTGGGCATTTTATTAATATCAATTAATCTTATTTGTGTTTAATATTTTTGCTTTAAATTTTCCTTTCTCTTGGTAAATTTGATCACCAAAATATTATTGGTTTTGTTATTTTTGGTCTTTGCCTGGTTCATCCTTACTCATTTATTTAATTTTTAACTGTTATTTTTAATTTTATTTATAGTTAAACATTTATTGCCACCAATTCAAAGATTATATTTACATTTTCTATAGGGAGAACTTAATATATCCATATTATATTTACATTTTCTGTAGGGAGAACTTAATGCATCCATATTTATTGGAATAAATGATATATATACACTCTTACTCCTTTTCATTTTAATTAATGTTGATTTCCAACATTAGACATTGTAGCTTACCTTTTACTATATTTATCACTTTTATTCAGCTATTGTTTTCTCTAATTTGAAAGCTATATATGCTAATTTCTAAAGGTTGATTTGGTTAACATTAATATATTTGAATCTAAATAATTCTATCATTTTCAAGAAAAAATCACCATTAATTCCTCCTTCTGTAAGATAAGAAATTTATCATGTTTTTGCTTCTTTCCTCTTTCTCTCAGTTCAAGTTTTTGATTGAGTAAATCAGATTCTACATTGTCAAAATTATTTATTATTCCTGAGATTTTTTACATCGCTGTAATATATTATAATTAATAACTAGAATTTACTCAAAAGTCTTATAGATTTTGTTGCTTGTAATCATTTCTTTAATATCCTATCTCCTTATTTTACCTTCTAAATTTAAATTTATTTCTCTGTTGGCTGGAATACATTCTGAACTATTTGTCTTTTCAAAAAACAGGTGGAGTCTATATTACTATGTATTTTATTAGTTATAATATGTGTGAGAGTGTTATTCTGTTGCTTTTCTGTCTGAATAATAACTTGGCTGTAAATATAGTTTTAGGGTCTCAACAATTATGTTCCCCAAAGCTCTGTAGATGTTGCTCCATTGTCTTCTGGATACTTGTTGCAGACAAGTATTATGGTAACCTGATATTTCTTTCTGTAGCAAATTAATGACCTTTTCTCTTTTGTGCTTATGGCATGTATTCTTTATTTTTGACATTCAAGGCATGAGGGTAAGTAAAAGCACTCATCTCTTTCTATAAATTTTTCCTGGTACTAAGTGAATTTTTTCATACATTCTTCAGATCAGGGACACATTGTGATTATTTCATTAATTATATTTTCACCTCTCTTCTGTTTTTTTAAATTTAGAATTCAGATTAAATCTGTGATGACTTTTTTAGAAATCTATTTCCTGCTTTTATTTATTTTCTTTGATTTTTAAAATTCCTTTATCTTATTGTGTTAAGAAGTTTAGCATCTAACTTATTGATTTTTTTTGTAATATCCATTCAGTGGTTTACTGCCTACATTACATATAAACCAGTAATCATATTTTGTACTTTGAAGGCAATGCTCTTTGATCTCAAATTACACGTCTTAATATAGATTTAATATCTTTTAAAATTTCATTCAAAAACTTTCTCTTGATAAAGGAGGACATTTTTGAACATTATATTAGTTTGTTTTCATGCTGCTGATAAAGACATATGTGAGACTGGGCAATTTACAAAAGAAAGAGGTTTAATTGAACTTACAGTTCCACGTGGCTGGGGAAGTCTCATAATCTTGGCGAAAAGCAAGGAGGAGCAAGTCACATCTTACATGGATGGCAGTAGGCAAAGACAGAACTTGTGCAGGAAAACTCAACCTTATAATAACCATTGGATCTCATGAGACTTACTATCAGGAGAACAGCATGGGAAAGACCTGCTCTCATGATTCACTTACCTGCCAGTGGGTCCCTCCCACAAAGTGTGGGAATTCAAGATGAGATTTGGGTGGAGACACAGTCAAACCACATAATTCCATCCCTGGCTGCTCCCAAATCTCATGTCCTCACATTTTAAAACCAATCATGCCTTCCCAACTGTCCCCCAGAGACTTAACTCATTTCAGCATTAACTCAAAAGCCCACAGTTCAAAGTCTTGTTCAATACAAGGCAAGTCCCTTCCACCTATAAGCCTGTAAAATCAAAAGCAAGTTACTTATTTCCTGGATACAATGGGGGTACAGGTATTAGATAAATACAGCTATTCCAAATGGGAGAAATCGGCCAAAACAAAAGGGCTAATAGGCCCCATGCAAGTCTGAATCCAGCAGGGCAGTCAAATCTTAAAGTTCCAAAATGATCCCCTTTGATTCCATGTCTCACATCCAGGTCACACGGATGCAAGAGGTGGGTTCCCAGAGTCTTGAGTAGCTCTGCGTCTGTGGTTTTACAGGGTACAACCTCCCTCCCGGCTGCTTCCACAGGCTGGCGTTGAGTGTTTGCAGCTTTTCCAGGCACACAATGCAAACTGTGGGTGGATCTATGATTCTGGGGTCTGGAGGACAGGGGCCCTTTTCTTACAGCTCTACTAGGCAGTGCCCCTGCAATGGGGGATCTGTCCCTACATTTCCCATCCACACTGCCCTAGCAGAGATTCTCCATGAGGGCCCCACTCCTGCAGCAAACTTTTGCCTGGGCAGCCAGGCATTTCCACACATCTTCTGAAATCTAGGCCGAGGTTCCCAAACCTCAATTCTTGACTTCTGTGCACCTGCAGGCTCAACACCACGTGGAGGCTGCCAAGGCCTGGGGCTTCCACCCTCTGAAGCAACAGCCCAAGCTGTACCATGGTGCCTTTTAGTCACAGCTGGAGTGGCTGGGATGCAGGTCACCAAGTCCCTAGACTGCACACAGCACACAGCATGGGGACCCTGAGCCTGGCCCGTGAGACCGTTTTCTCCTAGGCCTCTGGGTCTGTGATAGGAGGGGCTGCCATGAAGATCTCTGACATGCTCTGGAGACATTTTCCCTGTTGTCTTTGGGATTAACATTTGGCTCTTTGTTACTTATGCAGATTTCTGCAGCCAGCTTCGATTTCTTCTCAGAAAATGTTTTGTTTTGTTTTGTTTTCTATCACATTGTCAGGCTGCAAATTTTCTGAACTTTTATGCTCTGCTTCCCTTATAAAACTGAATGCCTTTAACAGCACCCAAGTCACCTCTTGAATGCTTTGCTGCTTAGAAATTTCTTCCACCAGATACTCTAAATCATCTCTCCAGTTCACAGTTCCATAAATCTCTAGAACAGGGGCAAAATGCTACCAGTCTGTTTGCTGAAACATAACAAGAGTCATCTTTGCTCCAGTTCTACCTTATGTTCACCTTTACTTGAAATGGCAATTGAGATTGAATAATTTTTACTTTTTTCTTTAAATTCATTGATTCTTTCTTCGATTCCCTCCATTCTTCTGTTGAACTCATTCACTGAATTTTTTTATTCCCATACTGTAATTTTTCAGTTCTAAAATTTCCATTTGGCTCTTACTTATATTTTATACATCTTTGCTGGAAGTTTGTTATTTTGCTGAGACCTTCTATTTTTCCATTTATTTCAAGTGTATGCATATTTGTTCACTGAAGCATTTTTATAAAGGCAGCTTTAAATTCCTTGTCAGGTAATTCCAACATATGTGCCACCTTGTTGTTGCATCTAGAGATTGTCTTTTGTCATTTCAATTGAGATTTCCCTGGTTCTTTGTATGAAGAGTGACTCACTTGTATTCTGGATACTCTGGGGACTATGACCTATGGGATCTTATTCAAACCTGTTGTTTTAGCAGAATCACTGCCTCACTCATGCCAGCTAGGATGGAAACCCAGCCTCCTCACATACTTTCATGACACTGTGGGGTTGGAAGAATTCATCACCACTGAGCTATGGTGAATGTCCTGACTCCGCATAAGCCTCTGCTGAAACCCTGTCTGGAGCCAGGGCATCTGTTAGAGCTGGAAGAAAATGGAAGACTAGGCTTCCCACTTGATCCTTGCTGATGTAGAAGGAGTCAGACCACTGAATTTTTCATGGCTGTTTGGTTGGAGTGGGACAATTATTACCAAAATGTTTTCTGTCTTGTTAGCCTACTCCTTTTCTTGTCCTTTGGTTTTAGAGAAGCCCTGCTAAAACAACAGATTTGAATAACGTCCCATAACTCATAGTCTAAAAATAGCATATCAATGCCAAAATGAAGATTTTTTTTCCATTCACATCATTGTGATACCTACATAGACCAGCATTAACTATGCATGAATTTCCTCCTTAGAATTTGGCTGAAGAACTGGCACCGCTGTGATGGATATGCTTCTGCCCTAAGCCTTCTCTTGAAGGAATGAGCTCTCTATGCGGAGTACATGGTCACAGTGTACTTAGGAGATGGAGGTGGATTTCTTCACAACTGCCTTTCTATAAGCCCCTTTCTTCAGTCTTTGCCACTCTTAAAGAAGGAAACGCTTTGTATTTCAGGCTGGTTTTTCATAACTGAGGTGAATAGCAAATCTTTTGGTATTTTCATCTACCTGAGGCTTCACACTTTGTCTTGCTGAATAGCTTTGAATTTTTTAGCTTGCAGTTAGCATACATACCTTAATCTTCACAAACATAGATTTCTTAGCATGTTGATATTCATTTAATCATTTTAACAGGAAGTAGTATAGTTAAATATATAGACTCAAAACATAAATCTCTATTAAATATTTAGTTCTAGTTCTTTTTTTTTTTACATTCTGAACTTTGGTTTTCCAATTTATTTCTCTATCACACTATACAAATATCACTGTAATACTTTTGGTGATAGTGTAGAGAGAGAGGGGAAGACATATCACATAGAGAAACTACTCAATTTTAGATCGCTGATTTTGGGGGCAAAATATCATGTGTTTTCCATATATTCTTTATGAGCCAGCTATTGTTTAGAGTATGCATTCTAATATTGTCATCTTGCCATAAAAAACTCTTTCCCATTCTGTCTTCTCTTCAATTGCATCTTTTGCCATTTATCCCAAAGGTCAAGCCACTTTGAAATTGCTGGTTATCTGAATTATGCCATACACTTCGTACCTTTGCATATTGTACAGGCATTTTTTGCTAAAATGTCTTCTCCTGTTTCCTGTGTGTTAAAATGTTCAAGTCAAAGCTGAAATGTTGTTACTCATTGAAGATGCCATTTCATCTTCTCTAAGCAAAGTCAGCCACTTTTCATTTAGACATCAATGTACATTGGTCACACCACTAAGAAAGCAATTTGTTGAACTGTAATCATTTAATTTTTACTGTGTGAAATTCTCATGTATGCTTATCTTTATTGTACAGTCAGTGGCACCATAGTATATGGCCAGTAAATATGATTGAATGAATAAATGAAGACGTGAGGCTATTTTATAGTCACATTAATTAGAAAAATCCATGTCTATAATTTCATTAGATATCCATTGTAAGTTACTAATTAAGCACATTTGTAACAATTATGTGTCATTTGGCATGACTAAAATTAGGCAAAATGGATATTTATTACAGTGTTATTGCTACTCTGCTCCTCATTAAAAAATAGTTGTCAATATTTTTTCCTTTTCCATATCTAGGCCTCTTTGGAACCAATTACAGTATCCAATAATGTTTTTAAAGGATTGAACTAAGACGTTTTAATAAAACAAAGGTCTTTTGTCTTACCATTCCATCTCCGCATTTTGTTCCTGACGCCACCAGGCCAATGTCTGTAGAATCACGGTACAAAAAAATGGTTTTGCATTTGACAGTAGCATTTTGCTGGGGATCCTTAAGGTGATAGGTCTTGTCTTCTCCAAGGAGATAGGAAAGCTCCCCTCCAGTGCAGTAGATCTTTCCACATCTGACATCTCTGAAGGAAAGGGAGAATATTCCAACTTGGAACTAGAAATACAGCTTTTGAGACTAGGCTGGCAGTGAAGCCTCCCAGTCACTCTTTTTCTAGATCCAGGTTTCTCACCAAGTTAAGGAGGCTGGAATGGGCCGAGAAAACCAGTGAGCAAAGTCTTGGCCCTGAGAACTGAGATGAGTCCGTACAAAATGTAAAATAATTGTATTTCTTTTGGATTTCCCTGTGAACCTCACAAATCAATACTGGCTTAAGTTTACAGGGGAATTTTTTTTTTATTAGTAATTTGAATTAGCATGATTTTAATCAGGACACCAAGATTTCCTTATTTCCCTCTTCTCCCGATCTCAGTAAAAAGAGGTTAACAGCTTTGGGGACAGGAGCCATTCTGATTTTGACAAAGTGCTGTAAGAAGGCAAATTACTTTTTTTCCACAGGGCACTTACTTCTCCTCACAGGGAAGAAATCTGTTTTCCTTGTTTTTGCAGTACCCAAATTTATTTCCTTTTGTATTCATCTTGTAGCAGATATCATGACTCTCTGTTGCCTCTGGGGTAAAAAATGGTTTAAAAGTAAAACAAAAGCATGACTATCATGAATCATAAAAGACCTTATTTTTCTAATGTAATTAAACTTTCAGAATCATGTCATAGTGAAGTAGAATGGAATACATTATTTAAAAACCATCCTATTGCCTCAGGAGAATATTTTAGGCTGGAGATATAAAACTGTAGCAAATATACATAACTCATATACTGAGATAGTTAATATTAGACTTAAGATCAACTAATATGACAGGTAATATACAGAGAAATGCTAAGCATTATCTTGGAATAACGCCACAAATGACATTATCTCTGATCTTGACCCAATTCCTACAGGGCAATAACAGAGAAATAGAGGCCATCATCTATGTGAATCCTTCACTGTGATTATCTCTCACCATCATCAAATAATTCAGAGCACTGATCCCTACGAGTGGGACATTTCCCCATGAAGCAGTAGCCTTCTGAGTTCTTGCAAGGAAATCCATTAACTCTGAACTGGTCCTTAGGACATGCAGGCGAGTGGCCAGTGCACATCTCAGGAAAATCACATTCATCTTCTGCTGGTCTGCATATGGACCCTGCTTTTTTTATCTGTTGAGGAAATACAAAGAGACTAAATCCTGGATACATTTAGGTAGGTAAGGTTTAGTAAGTAGACAGAAAGTTGACCCATTCATCTAAAAAAGGTTTTAAGGATGGATCATAGCTTCCTTCTCCATTCCACCAAGAATCATTCTCATTTGTAAATGTGTTGGCACTCATGTAATTTTAGGAACGACAAAATGATGTTTTTGAAATTTGGTATTAGAACAGCCTTAGGGAGAGTTGGGATGTACATCAAATGAAGAAATGGGCAGGTGTTCTCATTTATCTTGTCTTTTCTTTGTTCCAAGGGATCCAGTACACGCCCTGCCTACCCCCTACCCACCTCAAACTGGGAACCCCTGCCTATAACGAGGAAATCTCCAGTCCTAATAAATCAGATTCCTGCATATGAAGTGGAGAAGAATACCCTTGCTTTCATTGCTGGAGGGAACTGCATAGAGATATTCTCTCATCCAGCCATTCAATATGAATTTAATTATGCTGGGTTCTGGATGAATTTGAAGATGCATAAGACATATTTGTTTTCTTTGTGAGTTCACAATAAAGTTGGGTGAAAGAAGTGTCAATAAACCCTCGGGCAGAGCCACTGGGGTTTCTGGTTGTCTTCCTCAGGAACGTTTCTCCACTTACTAGCCACTACCACTTTCCAATCCTGATATAACCCCTTTCCCTTTTAGCTCACCCTTGGGATTTCAACCATCCTCCCAGCTGAGGTTAAACAGATTGGTGATTATTTACAAAGGAGCAAGAATAGAGCTGGTCATGTGACTTCCCTCCTAAAACTCCAATTGCTACTTGATGTTTCTCCACTCCCCAGGCCATAGCACAGCCCAATGCTCAGATGTTGGAGCATCTCACAAGAATCTCTGTTGGGTACTTGCAAGCCTAGCTTCATTCTGGAATTAGTGATGCAGGGCTGTCCAGTGGTTAGAAAACTCTTAGATCCTACACATTCTTAAACTGAAACAAAACAAAACAAAACAAACAAACAAACAAAAACCTTCTCCTGGCACACGACCTTACCTGACAAGATTCACAGCATTCTCCTTCTGCACAAGTAAATCCTGGCTTCAAAACACATGTGTGTGCATCACAGCAAGGATTGGTACACTCCTGGCAATAACCACAAAAGAAATATGAGAAGTTGATATGTGCTTTGACTCCTGTTTGAAGAATTAATTAGTTGTGCTTCTGTGTAATCTGTTACAGTTAAATGCTAATGCATGATTGTTGGCTGTGGTACATACATACAGATAACTGTTTAGAACTGGTGTTTGGGACTTTTACTATTTCTCCTTCTCTTGTGCTGTTTGATACACTACAGATAATGGATTCTTACTGACAGAATTAAAGAGTCCAACATTTACAATCTTCAATTATCCTAACGATCTCCATTTCCTTGAAGGGCCTTACTGCTTCCCTGTACTGAAGTATGATGTGAGACAGTTCAACTGCTGAAGATCTCATTTTACATTTTGCTCAAGCTGCTCATAATTTCAGGCTGACTTTTATTTTTTAATGTATCATTAAATAGCATCAAAATGGTAACCTGTGCCCTATTTTCTCAAACAAAATTAAAACCTCAAAGAAAACAGAGTGTGGCCAGATAAGGTACCTCATGTGTTAGAATGAATCCATGGAACCATTCCAAAGAATGCATATGGACAGGAGGATCAGTTTCCAAAATTAAGAGCCTCTTTACGTTTAACCTGAGACATTTGAAGACATTCTTATAACCTTTGGACAGGTCACTGTCCCCAGTCTGATTATGGAGTCTCTAACTGCTGTCCTACTAGACCTCCTGGTATTGTGCATTATCTAGACTGTAACTACTGAAATTGTGGTCCTTGGGCCAGCAGCATCACTGTAACCTTGCCGCTAGGTAGGTGTGCAGAATCTCAGAACCACTCCATACTTACTGAATCTGAGTTCACATTTTAACAACATCCCCTGGTGATTCATCTGCATTTATTAATTTGAGAGGCAGTTGTATAGAACACATACCTATGTGATAAGCTCTTGAAAGAAATAGCTTCTATGATGGGGAAAGCATATTAAGAATTACTTTAAAATTTGCCTCAAGGGCTTTCCCTAAATGCTCCAGAGACCACAACTATGATAAATACATGAAACATTAGAACGTTTGTGCTCTATTAAGAGTTTTCCAATAACAGGAACTATCCAACTGTGATACAGGGTAGCCTCAAAAGTTAATAAATAAAACTTGACTGAGTAAGAGATTTTGTAGAGCAGACTCTGCATGAGACATCAGACTTAAGGACGCTTATAGGCCCTTGTCACAAGCAGAACCAATTGTATATAAACAAGGAAAGGTGATGCTGCTGATCTCCAGCAAGGTCATTACACATGTTTCATGACTTGATAAGAAGCCTTGGAATGAGGCTGCACCAATAATTTGTTAAAAAATAAAAATAAAAATGGAAAGCAAAAATTTTAAAAGCTTTACAAGGAACACCATGGTTGGTTTGATTAATGGTCACATCCCTACCTAGGTTCTACCTGATCATAAATTTTGCAATTTAAAGATAGCACTGTTTGCAAATACCTGAGGAGGGCCACAGTCACACTCTTCACCCTCATCCAACTTCTTGTTTCCACAAAATTGGAAATCATCGAAATTGCAAGGAAATGGAATGTTGAGCATGCATGTTGGCTTATAATCCTTCAGGTACTGGTGGTATTGGTTTTGGCTGCATTTACTGAATTTCAGTGCAGGAATGCTAGAGATAGAATGAAGTGAAAATAAAGATTAATCCTATCAATGCATAGTGGTGCGGCAGCTATGAGCATTTTATGAAGCATTTAGAAAGAACAAATGTAAATGTTTACTGTTAGAGCAGGGAAGTAACTGGGTTACTTTATTACAGAAAATATCTTCTCAAAACACAGTGAACACATGCTATTTTAGTGAAAATATCTTGGCTATAGATCCTCTAGCAAATCCTTCCTGAAGCCCACGTTATAGACTGATTGTGTATGTTTATTGCTTCCAAATCCTCTTTAATTTGGTCCTCTTGAAATAACCTATATACTTGTTTATCATCTCTACTAGATTATAAGCATCTCAAAGCAATAATTATATCATGTGCAATTTTAAAAAATAAACATTAGTTAACACAGTGCCTGGCACAAAGTGGTTCTCTATAAATTTGTTAAGACAAGCGGTTGATTTAATAATGTACATATCCATAGGAATGTGATATACTTCTTAACCTGAAATTTATCTCCCTTCCATCTTCCTTTCCTTTTGACTTCCTTAACAGTATTATTGACATAATAATTAAATACAGTAGGCCTTTAGAGTCTTGATTACACTAGACTGAGACGGTAAGACTCTGTAAAATATTACTAATTATGTAAATAATAATGTAAACTAAATATTAATTACTGAGTTCTTATTCTATGCCAGTCATCTCATTTGGCTGTGTTAGCCACGTTACTTCATATAATCAATGTGTGCAAGCATTGATCACCAAGAAACTTCTTACTATATATAGTGCTTTATATATACCTGCTCTGAAGGGATTCAAAGATGTGCGAGACTTAGCACCTGACTGCCTGGCAATTTACAGTACAATGGGGAATGCTGGACATGCTTTTATTCTGTAACTATTTATGGAGTATTTAATATGTGTTTGGGACTTTTCTAGTAGAGTGGTGATATAACAGTGACCCAAACAGACAAAACCCTCTAACCTTGTGGGACTAGCTTATATTTCAGCAGAAGAGTAAAGTTATAAATAAGCTGAATGCATGAAACAGAGAATATGCTAGATAGTAATAAGTACTAAGGAGAAGACAAGTGGGAAGTGAAATGCCAGGATATGTGTGTGATCTAGATCAGGTGGCCAGGGAAAACATTGGTGGGAATAACATTTGAATAAAGATGTGAAGGAAGACATTATAGCTTATAGAAAAGATGACAAAACAAAGCATGCAGAGTCTATTTCTCCCCTAATTGCCTTGGTAGTGATTGGTACTAATTGTTCATGGTGTACTTTTGCAATGTGCCCAGAAAGAGTTTTGGGATTTCTCTCATGGTATCACTAGAGAGAGACACTACCAGTTGGCAAGATTTAGCCCCAGAAAGGAAACTCCCATGCCTAGTTATGTAATAGACTTTTTAGGAAATTCCATAGCTTTACAACATATCCTACAATAATGGGTTTTGACTCAAAATCCACTTTTGAAATTTTCT